CACAAACAATCTTAAAGAGAAAAACAAGTTATTTAAAAAACTTGCATGGAGTCCCTCTATGTCTGTAGAATAAGGTTAGCTTGCTGACACCTTAAAAAAAATCACTTTTAGATGCTAGACTTACGTCATTTTTGAGGGCTTGAGTAATAACAGTATTGCTAGTTTACTACTAGTGTTGCTAGTTACGTAGTGTTTAGTTAGTAAGCTGTCAGGGTCTGTCTGAAAGATTCACCTGCCACTCTTTTCATAGACCTCTGTAATCCAGTCTAGATTAAAATGTGAATATGAAGAAATACAGCCCCCCAAATTTAAATTAAATATACTGGTATTTCATAGTAAGTGCAAAGTAAAGACTCATGGCTGTTGATTGAATTCAGACTCAGAGTGAGCTTATAGGACAGAGTAGAACTGCCCAATTGGGTCAGGGTTTAAAATCTATGGAAGCAGCCAGTTCTATTTTTCTTCTGAAGAGTGCCTGATGGATTTGAACCCCTGACATTTTAGTTAGTTGCTTAGTGTTTAACAACCACATCATTGGGGCTCCTTAATTCAATGTAGTATTCACAGTTCCAAAACAGCAAATGAATCGCAAACTGTAGTTAGTCACTGGAATTTACTTAAATATAAAATGCGAATTTCCAAATAATGAAGCGATTTGGTAATGGACTGTATTTTGCAAAAGGAATTATTGAACATAAATTCTAGGATCAGCTTATGGGGAGGAGAGTCCCATATAAGAGCTCGCTGATGTGCCTGGAGGTTTAGAATCAGGTCTTCATCTTGGGGAATTTTCTTGGCATCTAGTCCCTAATTGTGAATAAAGTAGATATTATAAATGCTTGCCAAATGAAGATATACATGGCACCACGCTTTCATCCTGTCTCCTCTCCCTTGTTCCGAATGTTAAATCAAGCTCTTGGGAGGTCTGATGACTAAGAGAGCAGCCTGGCTCCGCACACTTCATCAACATCATTTTCTCTCAGCCAACCACTTTCATTCCCACTGGCCTGATTTTGTATCCTGGTGCCTGCTACTAGTGCACAAATCTCAGTGAAACATCTTAGACCTCTTTAGAAACTGATAAACTAATTTCAATTTTTACGAGAGGTTAAACAAGAAAGTTATATGGCTTAAAAACATCTGTAAAGACCAAGGGAGAATTTGATTAAGAGTAAAATGATCCTGAGTTCAGTGACAGTTTGTATCCACTTCCAGGGAGGTAATAAGAGTCTCCCCATGACAGGACTGGACTAGACCGGAATTGAGAAGTGGGAAAAGGGGTGGGGGTGGGGGGCTATATTTTCCATTCTCTATCTTCAAGTTACCTAGCACTGAAGACCTCTGGTGAGGATCTCTGAAGTTCTCGTCTTTGGCAAAAGTAATCTCAAGAGTCCCTGCTTAGCAGGAAAAATGAAAGTATTGGGCTAGAATTACTTTCAGATCTAAAAACTCCCCTGCCTTTGACCTATTCTAATCGAGTCCTTTTAGGAGAATAAGAATTGTTCCCATTGCGCCATGACCTGGAGAGAGTTGGGCATTAAACCGCAGAGGTGAGTATTGAAATGAATGTGGAGGGTGGTGCGGAGAGAGAGACCCAATATTGCCTTATTCCACACGAGTGTGAACTCTCCAACGGCACTTTGCAAAGTTCCACGATTGCTTGTTTTGTGGGCCACATTCTTGCCACAAATTCCTGTCTCTTTGCTGTGGAAACCAGCCAAGGATACATGATTGACCACCTGCTCACTTTCTTCCACAAGGCGACTCCCCAGACTTATTTTCTTTGCTTTCTCCTCCTGCTGGCTTATGGCTTTCCCTTATGTAGCAATAAAACTCTTGGAGAGTCCTCTTAGGGATGAATGAATGCCACTTCAGTATATTTCTGTTAGCTGCCCTTTGATGGTTATGTTTAAAAATAAAGGGGGAGTTGGGGCAGCTTGGTTCTTATTGAAATTTTCCTTTCCTCTGCTTTCAAGTTACCAGGCTTCAGAAACTCTTAGTTACACTCCACGAGAGCGTTGCAAACAATTATAAAACGTCTGGGAAATACTGTCAGAAGAAAAATGCCCCATCGGTCAGTAATATTTTTCCCATTGGAAAAGGATCAACATTCTAAAGAGACCCATCCTCGCCTGTGTGAGCCTTCCCTGCATTTAAGTACCAGACAGACTGTGTAACTGGATTCCCAAAGAGCAGAACACAAGCTTGTTCTCCCCCATAACTCACAGAGGAAGGCTCTGTTGTCATGACTCCATGTCTACTTCGTGTTGTCTGTGATGCATGTTGACTTCCCCACTTTCTATGTTGCAACAAGCCATCTGCATTCATATTTAATGTATGTCACCTTTGGGACAGAACATCCTAGGAGTGATGGTCCCCTTCACTCCTTGTGAAGTCTTAGTCCTGAGAATAGGACAATAAGAATCTAGCCCCTTGGGGGTGGGATGGGGTGGTGGGGAGTAGGTGGGGGAGAGATGTACCTGGCTGTTTCTTTCAAGATTTATAGCCTTGGACACCCTATGGGTAGTCCTACTTTGTCCTCATGATATCCGCTTGATGACCTTGAGTATGAGATCCTGAGCTTGACACTGGCCTCTTGGTGGCCTTGGGGAAGCCACCCACCTTCTCTAAGCTCCTGGTTTGATCACACAGTTGTGGCACAGTTAGGTAGGCTAGCATAGGGTTGGGGAGTCCACATGCCCAGAGGGCCAAGCAGAGGTTCAGGTTTCCTGCCAGGTAGGCATGGGAGGGCGCTGCACCTGGATTGGCCCACCTAGGACAGGTGAATTCAATTCAGCCAATGGGGTCGTCCACCATGCCCTCCCCGCCCCCGCCCCCGCCCCCCC